AATTCCTCTTTGTTACATTACCCTTGATCATGCCCTACCAGGCCCCCCACACCCACCTCACCATCAATTTGGATCACTTGTTGTTCCCTTGTCCCTGGGTTTGTTAACACCACTTCCTTTCCCCCCACCTCCCCCTCTCCCATGACCTATGACATTTTTATAACAGCCCTACACTGGGTTCCTACACTCCCACTAATGTTAGATAACCAATTGGCTCTCAAGCTCTGTTACTCACCTGTTACTAGAATAGCTCTGACTCCCCTCAGGCTGCCTCTAGCCTAGGGAGTACTTACTGCATATACTCAAGTATATGTGGTAGTTTTGAGGGAAATTCGGCTGCCTCGGAGGTTTAGAATACAAACAATGTTCTCCCTAGCATCCCTCATTCAAGCCAAGATCACCTGGATATTTTTATCAGGTGAATTCTTTTCCGTTTGTGTGGCAGTAGACTTGTACTTCAGGTTAAGAGAGGTCTGGATTCCTGATTTGGCAGAGTTTGGTAAATTCATATACAAGACACTTCCTCCACATACACCTCACATGTTTCAATGACTATTTTATCTTTTTATATCTTCATGTAAACCTTTCAAAGACAATGAATGCTACTTTCAGGCCAATGTTTCCTTTACAAACGCATTTGGGGATTTAAGATGAAACTCTACACCAGGGGCAGCCCCTCTTAAGAAGCAGTGTATTTTGTGGCCTCTGTGTGGAGCACAGCGGGGCGCTTCCCCCCAAGCATGGGGGCTGAGTTTTGATTTCTACGAATGAGGTACCTTTTCCCTGGTGAGCCTTCATTAGACAGTCCCCAACCAGCTGCATGCACTGGCTCCGCAGGGTAGTGGCGCTGCTGTGCGCATGGGGGTCCAGCTTTTCCCCATCCATGTCCTCTGCACTGGCCAGGTGGGCGCTGTAGAGCGCCAGGGCAGCAAAGAGCAGCCAGGAGTAGTTGTGGATGTAGGGCTGGATGAGCCTCTGCCGATCACTGATCCGAATGGTCACCATCGGGTGGGCCGTGACGCTGTGGGTCGGCAAATGGCTGCAAAGGCAAGGCACTGTTAGACTGCCAGCACTGGGAGGCTTCAAAGAGGAGCAGAGCCTGTGGGGAACACATGCACGGGAGCCACTGGGCACTAGCGACATCACAGCGACCTCTGGAAGCTCAGAGCGAGGTCAGGCTTCTCAGCCCCCTTCAGGACTTCCTACTCCCCCAGCCCCGTCTACCATCAACCATGTGACACTAGCATTTTGGCTGTGTGAGAGGCTACGCACACTCTTTAGGGCACAGATGAACTATGTAAGAAGATGAACTGAAGTCTGGAAACTTGCTTTAAAAGGCTTTTATAAAGAAAAATGCCCTAGGGAAGCAAACTAAGCACCCTTAGGAAAACCTTCAAAACTGTTCCATCTGGGTGTCCTGGGTCTGTGGGGCTCACTGCACTCACTCATTCTCCTCTTCTGAGTAGGTTTCAGACTTTTTTTAATATGGAACGCTTCACGAATTTGCGTGTCATCCTCACACAGGGGCCAAGCTAATCTTCTCTGTATCGCTCCGATTTTAGTCTATGTGCCGCCGAAGCGAGCACCAGACATTTTTAATAACAAAAAGTGCTGCTCTTTTAAAGTACATCCCTCCCTTTGAAGCAAAGGCACAGGAAGGCAGGGCTGCGGCACTCGGCCTGTAGGCGTACCCATAGGAGTATTTCTTGGCTGCATAGCATCCATAGCAGAGGTCAAAGTCATCGCACACGTTGCAGTTCATCCGCCGGCCAATGATCAGGCCCTGGCAGTGGTCACAGGCAAACTCCATGTTGACCATTTCATGGTCATCTCCATGGCCCTCAGGCTTCACCCCACCTGGAGGAAAGCAACACTGTGGGGTGCTGGAAGGGCTAGCCTCCAAACCCAAACCTGCCCCAGCACCAGGCCGCCCCCTCACTTGTTGCCCAGGAGCAGCAGAGCCACTGAGACCAGGGCACGCTGCCAGGGGCTTGGGACGCATAGAAGCGCAGAGCTTTTTGGCAACAGAGAAGTTCTGTGCTGACCTCTTTTCCAGAGCAACAATGGGTCTGGGCACATAAACAAGCTATCACATCAGGAGCATGGTTGGGAAACACCCAGTCCAGACCCCAATGCGTGTGCTGTTCCTCATGACCCATCTGTAGCACGCTTTGAGGAAGGGCCTGCTCTGTGTGCTTGCTGCCAGGTGTATAGCAGTCTCTCTGATCAGGGGCTGGGGGGGTGGGCGGGGAGGGGCGGCATGCGAGGAAGAATGGGAAAAGAACTAGAAACGGTGTCAACTTGGGAGGATGGCTCTCAGTCTCATCTGTCACCAAAATAATGAGATGATGAGAGAGTAACTTCTAAAGTCAGGTATCTAGGAACTACTAAAGTTGTGTTTTAGAAGGGCCTCCCAGCAGCACAGAGGAAAAAGAGATGGCCTAAAATCCTGACTCAGTGAATGGGAAAGGAGGCTCAAGAGACCCTGGCTCCCCCCCCCCCTCACTCCAAGGCCAGCGCTCGGTTGCAGGCCTGGCCATGGACCCTGCCACCTGCTCCTCATGCCTACCCACTGCCTGACTCATAACCCTGGCTCGGCTCCCCTCGGGACAACCGTGATCCTTAAAGGACACTCATACGCACAGAGAATGGCTGTGCTCCGCTCAGGCTCATTGCCTACTTGGAAAACTTTCTCTGCTGTCTGCAGACACCAGGATCAGGTTCACTAGCCTAGTTTCTACGGTCTCCCACTCTGATTCCAGCCACCCTAACCCCCTGCTCAGCTCCTCGTGCAGTGCAGCGTGTCCTCTCAGACAGATGGCGGGGCTCATCCCTCTGCCCTGTGCTGCACACGCCCCTCGGCCTCTTCCTCCGCTGAGCTTCACACTTCCTTCAGAGCCCAGTCCTCACATGCCAACTCCTCTACACGCTTCACTGCAACAGGCAGCTCTACCACTGGGCCCTTCCGTTTCCTAGCAACTCGGTACCGCCGCCGCTGCCGCTGTCCTGGGATGCACAGTCCAGTCTCCCTGCTAACTGTAAAGGTTTCCAGGGCAGGGGCTGTGTCTCTTAGCACTGGGAGATAAGGTTCATACTTGCCAATGAGCCAGAGAACAGAAGCAGGCAATAAACCCGCTGGAGCCGATTCTGATTCAGATTGACCCTGTAGGTCAGAGCAGCTCTGCCCCTTCGGGCTGCCCTGCAATTCTAGAGGGAGCAAGACAAGGGTTCTGGAAAGTGGCAGTAATTTGGGGGCGACAAGAGCACCGAGGGGATAAAGGAATCTTTCCAGAGGCAGACCAGACGGCCAGCCCCATCTTGCTCCTCTGGCACCGCTGGTGGTTGCAATCACCCCCTTTCACTTAGTAGCCAAGTACCTAAACGTGGCGCCGGCTGCCGGGCCTGGGCAATGCAGTGGGAGTCAGGGAAAAGACGACAACAACAAGATGACAGAACCCAGAAGTGAGGGTGCCCTTGGCTCAGGCATACTGAGTGCAGGGGGCTTACCCAGGAAGCACGTCTTGCAGAGATCCATGTCGCTGCACTGCAGACACCGGTAGCGGTGCCAGGGGGCGATCTCATCACAGCCATCACAGGAGATGTCCACGTTCAGCAGGTCGCAGTAGCGAGCAATAAACATGTGCATCTGTAAGGGGAAATCAACACAATTAACCAACAGATTTTCTAACACAGCCACTAGTCATCAATCAACTCATTCCTCCTGGAGGTACTTATTGGGCACTAGGAGGTTCCAGGCATGGCACTGGGTACAAGGGTTACCGTGTGAGCGTGCCCTGGTTAGCCAGGAGTTCCCTTGAGCAGACAGATGACAAGCACGGTGCATAGGGGAGGTGACAGGCACGTTTAGGAGGCTAAAAGAACTCAGAGGAGGGGTAGCAATGGGTGTGAAGTCGGCCAGGGGTAGTTTTGCGAAGGAGCTAATTCCTCCGCTGAGGGTACACGGGAATTAGCTGCGTGAGGGTTGTGGGTATGTCAGGTAGAAGGAACAGCAATTTCTAGAGGGAGCAAGACAACTGGTCATGAAATTGGCAGTAAGTCAGTATGGAGACTGGAGGACAGCAGGGGAAATACAACAGATGATGCTGACAATGTGAAACCACAAAGGCCTTGGATGCCAGCCGGAGCCCTGAGAATTTGAAAATGGAAGGGTAATAGGACTGGATTTCAGTATTGTAAAAGTTCCTCTGGTTGCTGAGTAAAGACCGGGTGGAAGAGGGTAAGACTAGAATCAGGCGGGCAGCGAAGGCTGAGACTGAGGCCATGTGCGGGATGATGAGAAGTGGGCAGATGCGAGATGGATAGAAGAGGCAGAACCTCAGAACCTTGGTGACTGGCTGGATATGGGACTGATGAACAGAGAAGGGGCAAGATCCACCCAGACTTTTGACTTGGGTACTCGGTTGGATAGACACGCTGCAAAAGGAGCCCTGATACCTGACACTTGAAAGAAAAAGTAAGCTTTCTAGGGCGAGAGTCAGGGAAATCTTGCATGAGCAAACAAGCATGTACTGACGACTACAGTACAGTTTCTCTTTAGGGCCTAGGGATGAGGGAAACACACCAGCAAGTCAACATACCATAGTAGACCAGGGCAAATATGCCCGGCCACCCTAGAACTACACAATGGTTTTGTTAAGAGATTAACATTAACATACACGAGAAAGAGGCAAAGCGCCATCCAGCAGCACAGAGGTGCTATACAGGCAAAGTGATTGGCACATAGTAGGCCCTCCGGGCTGAGAAAATGAGCAAATCAGTTGCCAGTGGCAGGTCTGACACCTAATGCGGGGATGGACATGGCAGGCTCTGGGCCTGATGCCTTTACACATAACTCTGACTCCATGTGTCCATATGACTTCTTCCACTCACCCCAGGCAATCTGCAGGTTTGAATGTGGCTTCCCCTATTGCTATGCTCAGGATGTAAGTCCAGGCCTTTGAGCGATTTTACTTCTCATCGCCAATTCATAAATGGGCACCTGACCTTACACATGAGCCCATTCTCACTGTGTCCAATTCCAAGGGAGGAAGTTTCTCTCTAAGTGTGCTCAGGATGCAGAGCCCCTCTGGCTAACAAGCAGGTGTGGGGACTGTCGGCTCACTAAGGTGCTGAACGCCACAGGGCCCTCTCGGGGACAGCCTGTTGGCATTCCCCCAGGCAGACTCTCCTCTCCAGACTCCTACCAAACCACTCCAGGTTACTCTAGTTGAGAGGTCTTACTTTCCTCTGCTTCTCTGGATCTTCCTGGGCTATTTTTTCATACCAGGCCTCAAACATGCCATCCTGACACTCATCCATCCATTCTGAATTCTGCTTGGCATCAGCAAGCTCATCGTCTTCACTCCATTGGCTGAAAGAAGGACATAAAGAGAGAAAAGCATGCCTCTCTCACAAATCCAGGAAAGTGTTGGTTAGCAGAGTACGTGCCCTAGTAGTCCACTATAACCGACATTTTGAAGCCGCTCAGTGGGAACGGTCCATTTGTTTGGGGAAGCCCCGGGTTTGACCAGGTGTTTGATAGATACAGACCCATGAAAGAGGAGCCCTTTCCCCAGGAGAGGGCAATACATGAGGCATTAGAGCATGAACAGTTGTGCCCCTGTGGCGAAATTCCAACTGACAACCATTTGTGGCGAACCTACTATGTGCCAGGCACTGGGGCCAAACAAAATGATGGCTTTTGTTTTTCCGTTTGATTTGGACGGATGTATTCAGCACGTACCAGTGGTAACAGTCTTGAGAAGGGTGCCGGGAGGCCCTGAGGCTTGGGCTCTGCCACCAGCCACTGTGAGACCGGGACACAATTCTGAGCCATGGTAGTCAGTTTCCTCATGGCAAATAAGAAAGAGGTGGTCCCACCCTCAATGACTAGATCACCCAGGGGCTGACGTCAGTGAAGGGACTGATAGTAGGTGAGGCCCCCTCCCTCTGACAGTGGGCAGAGTCTCCAGAACTAAGCAAGGAGGCTCCTTTTTCAGAGTAGCTCTTCTGAGTACAAATTACCCCAACACTGACTTCATGGATTCCTTTCAATTTTCTCCTCTGAACTCTGCTTTTTCCTCTTCTCGTCTCTTCTCCTGTCTTTGCTATACTCCTAAGTGGTTAGTGGGTAAGTAGACTTGGGCAGTAGAATGGCACTCATCAAAAGTAGAAAGAAGAAAACGCTGCATATTATTTTTCCCCCTTATAAAGTCTTTAAAATGGACAAGAGGTTACAGTGACTTGAATCACACACACGTTCCATAACCAAAAATACAGGAAAGGATTCTTGGATCCAACAAGCTATCCCAGGAAAGACAGAAACTGTAGAGGAGCCTCGCCCTTGGAGACGGCAATACCTTGCCCAGCACTATATTGTGCCAGAACAGTTCACGCTGAAAAATGCCATCGCTTATTTCCCATGACAATCCTGAGGCAGCATGACTCTGATCTCCAGCTCTAAAGATGAGGAAACTGAGGCACAGAGGGTTGAATGAATTGCATGGCGAGTATGTGGCAAAACCAGGCCATTAAGCTGACAGTTCAGCTCCTGAGTCTTTGCTCCGAACCTGTAGGCTATGCTCCCTGCACTGGGTCATTTACTTTAGAAGTGGGAGTGCAAGACTGACAGCTCACCTGATCACACTGTCGTGGACACTGATGTTTTCTTGTGAGATGCTCATGAGGAGAGCTGGTAACTGAATGTCAACAAAGAAGGCGAGATCGCTGGGTTCCCAGCCCATATCCAGAAGATGGAGCAGCGCCGTCTGAACACAGGACATGGCAGGCAACAGAGACCTAGAGGCCAAGAAGGTGCAGTCACCACATCTGCCTATTATCAACAATCACAAAGAACTCATGCAAACTGGCGACCTGGATTGTTGGTAAATGGAAAGCAAGAAGAAACAGCAGGTTGCCCACATGCGTCCCATTAAACTCCTTTTAAATTTCTCACACTCTCTGGACATGCTCAAAAGATAGCTTAAGCAAAATAATTCTGAAAGACAAAGTTAGCTTTCCACCATGTCAGGGCTCCCATATCTTCATTTTATAGTGAAGGACTGAAGGCAGTTAACAGTCACCTTCTGACCCCGGTGGAGTCAGGGCCAGCCAAGAAGTAACTAGGGATGTATAATCTACATGCACAGATTTCTATCTAAACCACTTAAAGAGATGATCAGAAAAATGCCTTTAAACTCAAGTATCAAAAATTGAAAATAAGACTAGTTCTTAAGGTTATATTAAAACCTGCCTCATCCCCTTAGAAAACGTACACATCATATAGGAAAAGAAGAGAACCAACTAGGCGCAAATAGCCTAGTATGTTAATAGGTAGCCCTAGATGGTAGGGTTAGAGTGATGTTTATTCTATTCTTTGTACTTTACGGTATTTTAACATGGAACCTATATCTCTTTTATAAAATAAAAAAGAAGTCAAAATAGATCTTGTTCTCTAAGAAGAATCCAATACCTGTCTTTTAGGTTACTAAATCCTTTCATTGCTTTGACCAAAAACAGAACAAGTTGATAGTAAGTTTCTCGGATGTCTTTGTGTAGTTCTGCACCACAGCCTTCCAAGTGTCCGAAATAACTAGAAACAGAAGAAATGACCAACTCACTCAATTGCCAAGACAATATTATAATCATGATTACTTCTCATAAGAAAAATAACCAAAATAAACCAGTTGAACAAAAGAGGCACAGGAATTTAAGTATATACAAATATGGTACCTTTAGAAGATAATGGGCAAAACATTCCAATGAGGCCACTTCACTGGGTCAAGAGAGCTGCCCAGCAGGGAAGGTAGGGAGATGGCAACAAATGGTTGTTCTTTGGTAATATAAAACCACTCTGCCTACCACCACTTAACCTGAGTGCCAGCTCCTGTGTCACAGGTTTCCACAAATGACCTCCCTCCATTCGCTGACTCCCACCCCCACCCTGCACTGGTGACTTCCGCACTGACTCACGGTCTTTTCTACCTTGCTCCCTGTCACCGTGGTCCCCTCAACATCCATGTAGAGCTCTGTGAGAGAAGGGACTAGCTCAGCGTGTGAATGACTCTGTAGTCCATGCAGAAGTGATGGGGGATTAGAGAAGTCCATCTGGATTTCTTCAGAATTACCTCCACTGATTTCCTTTGCAGACTCGAGCCACGGACTTACTTGGTAAACTCTTTCTGGCAGGTCAGAAGTTCCAACAGGAAAAGTATAAAGGGCGGATGGAAGCAATGAGGCTGACCCAGGGATTCTGCACAGTACTGAATGATCCTCAGTACTTCAAGGATGCTCTGGGCTTGGGCTTTCTTCAGGGAAAGAACCTTGACAACACTGGAGACAAAATTCATGTCAGCAACATCCAGAAACTGTACAGCTGGTACAGAAAAGAAGCCACGGTCTACCGAACTCTAGTGCCATACTGATAAAACGGGAATAATTCTGCGAGACAGTAGAAATACTCAGGAAAAGATCGATCCCTCTTTGATTACTTTTAGTCACTACTCAGCAGTATTAAAAACCTGTCTAGACCAACTATCCAGAAGCCCCCAATCTACACCTATATTGAAAATAAACAAATTAAGGATGCACTTTAGTATTTTTATTTCCTCACAGAAATGAAGTTTTAATCAGAATAGGAAAGTTTGCACTAAATCAAATATGAAATATTTTCAGACAAATAATTTTGTCAGAAAATATCAAATCTAAAATTCTCCCTGGGTGAAGAGAAAATACATTTACAAGTGTTAGTTACTGTAAGAAATGCTTCTTTCGTATGATAACAGTGTATTATTGAGATATAACTCACGTGTATGCATAATTCTTAACAGAAAAAAAATAGTACTTCAAAGGAAACAAAAGACACTACCAATTTTTTTTCTTGGACATTCTACAACAGGTCTTGCTCTATTCCTAAAGTACTACTGGCTAATTTTTTTTTTAACTTGCCAGTTTTTAACATGGACATCGAGTCTTTGACTAGCCATGGAGTCCCCATGGCTTGGAAGTAGAAAGGGCTGGAAAGGTGGTGGCTCTGGCTCACCTCTCATGTGACAGTGACTGATCCTTAATGAAGTCCATGACGTCCTTCAGCACAGGGTATTTCTCTTTGACCGTGGGCACTGGTCTGGCCTCCTCCACGGATCGGAAGGAGAGCAGCCGCAGTCGGCCTCGGGTGAAGGGCGGTCTGCGGGTGGGTGTGGAAGGTGAGGAGGGCTCTTCAGCTGGGGCAGAGGAAGAGGACACCTCTGCGGTGGAAGGGCCATTGCTGGGCAGCAGCTTCGGCTGCTCGGCCAGGCCAGGCCTCTTGTCAGCCGTCGCCAGCGGTGCAGCTTCAGTGGGCGACGTCAGGGCCTGGAAGTGCTCCTCCACCACCGAGCTTGTCCTCTGGCACTTGTCCAGTGGCTGCAGAGAATCGGTCTCATCTGCAGGCACCACCTTGTCACAGCTGTCTTTTGAACTTACCCCCATGGGTAAAAACTTTAGTAACAGAAGACTCTTCTGAATACACTCTTTTGCTGAGTACAAAAACAAGAACGGTAACTTAAAAAATCATAATGAAGATATATTGACTACTTTTGGAGAGAACATACTCCCTTTAAACGTCCCTTGGGGCGAGAGGCCCAATCAACCAGTGAGAGAACGCGTTGCTGATTTGCAAGCATATGCAGAGAAGACACACAAGGACACCTTTGGGTATCAGCTCATGGCCCCGTGACTCTCATTCAGCCCCACCCATTCCCGGTCCCTCGCCCTGCTGAGTCTCAGGCAGACCTCGGCATCATCTGCTTTCACCTGCAAAACCATTACCGTATGTACTCATAAATAAGCAGAGCTTTTCAGCACATTTTAATGCAGTTTTTATGGTAAAATTAGGTACCTTGACTGATATTTGGGTCGGCTTATATTCGAGTATATACAGTAATATCTTTTTCTGAAAACAAATAACATCATGTGATATTATCACACCTAAAAAAAACAACAACCAGTAACTCCTAAATTCCATGAAATAGTCCATCAGGGTGAGCACCCCCTAACCCTGAGACAGGGCAAGCAGCACCGGATGCGCTCTGAGAGAATTCACGAGCAGCACCGCTTGGAGTCTACCAGCACAAAGGCACTCCTGTCTGGCCTCTTCTGCACATCTACCCGCGGCCACCACCCTTGGCACCTGTGCTTCTTTCCCTGGTTCAACAGTGCTTCAACTGAAACAATCTATAGGACGGGCACTGGCTTTCTAGATGCAAAAATGAAAAGAGAAGAGCAGGCAGAGATAGGTTAACACACTCACACAGGCTCTCAGGATTTGTCTCATTAGCTTCTGAGTTGCGTTTTTCTTCAGCCTCGTTCCCAAGCCCCATCAGGGACCTCTGCTTCATCTCTAGCTGGGAGGAAGATTTAGAGCCACAAAATTACTTATCAGGGCAGCTGCAGCACACTGCTTCAAAAGCACAAAGCACTGAGGTCATGGCACACTTGACTCGACAGTTCTGGTCCAGCTGTTGAGGACACAGGACTGAGCTGAAGCCATCCACAAGCATACCTGCTAAATGACTTTCCTCTCAGGTGCATGTCATTTGGGAAGGGCTTATACTCATGACCTTCTTATTTTAAAAAGCTGGAACACTGGTGCTAGAGGAGCTCTTCACTAAAGCCTGCCACGTGCAGGTTAAGCAGCTGGGGTCTAGAGAAATCAGAGTCTTAGCAGGGTCACACACCTGGCTTGCTGCAGAGGACGAACCCGAATGTGAGCTCTATTCTACTCTGGATGAGGGAGCACCATCCTTGTAATATCAGATGAGACCTGCAGGCAGAGGGTGCTCCTCGTACTAGCCCAGACATGGTCACAACACGGCCCACAACAATGACGGAGCAGACGGCCAAGTGTGATACACAGAGGCCAAGGTCTTGAAGAGAAAGTTGGCACCCTGCCAACTATTGGCAGCCTGCCCTGTGCTAAGCTACAATGTGTCTTGGCCCTGGTCAAGTCCTCTGTAGCTGGAACTGTCTGTGGTAGCTGATATCAGTAGACGCTCTTGCGGGGTCCTGTTCATTTGGGGTTCTGTCGACCTGTCCAGCCACTATGCTCCAGTCTCTGTGGGTTTTGCCCAAGGTTATTGGTCCCTGGATAAACTCCCTCGTTTAGAAACAAACCATTACCAATGACTCGGAGCTATCTTTACCCCTGCTCTCCATTTCCCTGAACATGAGACATTTAGGTTTTTTCATTTACTTAATTCTCTACCTAGATGTCCTACATGTCCTCAGGCTGAACAGGACCCACAGTGAACTTCCCCACCACTCCCAGTCTAAGGTCACTTTTCCCACCCTGGTGGATGCTTCTACCAGCCACCAAGACACCCAAGCCAGGCACAGAGCAAATATCTGCGCACCACCCACACCAATCACAACGCCTTACTGAGAACTTTACTAAGTAACACAAGCCACCCTGATCTCAACAACACCTTCGTCGCCTGCTCTCAATCTCATATCCACCCTCTACCCAGTCAGTGAAAGATTTTCCTCTAATCACCACACAACATTTAGAACACATACAAATACATAAAGGACAATAAGGTGGCTACACTGTAGGCCTTTCGTCTGTACATCTCACTCACGTCGACCCTTTCAGACAAAGCAGACTGCCCGAGGGCTTCTGGGCTACACATCCTCCTAGAAGCTGATGGCTTCACCTCCTCCTGGGAAGGGGTTGCGGGTGTGCACTGTGGGCCGTCTGGCTAGCAGCCCAGCAACTAATCTGCTGTGCCCCCATAATACGTGATACATTATAGACATGTATGTAACATAGGTAATACAAGGGGGCTTCCAAAAAGGGATATGAGAGATAATGCAATCTTTCTACAAACTCTTTAAAGCTTCCTTGTATATAGGTACTCGTATCCATGCCTAACAAATAAAACACAATTCTCCCAAACCTGGTCTTATCGTTTCCATATGCTTGTATAATTTTATGACATTCTGATCTACATAACAGAGATTTGATGTGTGTACATAAACTTACATAAGTAGTATCATATGGAAATGATACTTTTTTTAAAATTTAATCATTTTGTTGGGGGCTCGTACAACTCATCACAATCCATCCATCCATCGTGTCAAGCACATTTGTACATTTGCTTTCTACTTGAGCCCTTGATATCAGCTCCTCATTTTTCCCCCTCCCTCCCTGCTCGGAAAAGATATTTGCGCATTCTTCTGTAATTTCATATTTTCTATGCATCATATTTATGAGTCACTGTGGCTACTGGTAGCTTTGATTTCATGCATTTTCATCGTAATAAACTATTTCATTATATAAATACACATACATATTCTTTTCATCTGCTCTCCTGCCAATGGACACTGGGTTCTCCCAGCCCATTGTGGTCACAAACAATGATGCAAAACCAATTTTCTAAAGTGCAGTCTGAATTGGTCCCTGGCCTGCTTAAAACTGTTGGCGGGTGCCAGCCTCAAAGACAATGAATGTTGTGCCTCTGGGCCGAATGATTCCATGGAGGGGCCTTTGGGTGACCGAAGGATGTCCATGGCCTCAACGGCACCCTGTTTACTCAGTCAAATCTGTAGGTGAAGTGAAACATTCTCAACATGCACCCAACTGTGATTCCTATGTTCTAACCTGCCCTGTTCCTATTCACGTTGCTAAATTTTGGTTAAAAAGATAGTTTTTCTCACATTGTACTCTTAAGAAAAGAGCTCCTCTTAAGGTAGCTACCCTTATCCTGTGATATCATGGTGGGAGAGCCCCAAAATAAAGTAGAATCTTTTGCAAAGAAGAATCTTACCATCCATATTCGAATCCCATCAGCCAAAGCATACACCTGTGCAAACTCTTCACTCAGGGCCGTCCTGCCCCCACTGTTGACTGGGGAGAGAAGGCAAGATGGCAGGTCACATCCAGCTAGCACAAGGCCCCGCGGCAATGTCAAATGCACGGTGCTTCACAATTCCCTCAGCGCAGGAACAACTCCCCCACCCCAACACTCACACATTAAGAGAGACTTGCAGGAAGAGGGGTTACGAATGAAGCCAAAATACCTGTGATGAGTTCTCATCCCTACTTCCAACTAATTTGGCCTTACTGTTTGATCTCTTCACTGTGTCAAAACCTACCAGCCACTTCCCTACGTTTTGTTTCTGAAGTCCAGACTTGTTAATTTTTCTATCCTCTTACTACTTGGGGATCTGTAATTTACCCCATTTGGAAAGTTCCCTTTTGTCGTCTTTTTATTCTTATTAAAGAAGAGCCAGGAAGATTGATTTAAATCTAAATTTCAGAAGCACTACGTGTTTGTCAATGACTTCAAAATGGAGACACTGTGTAGCCACTATAAGTGAGGTAATAAGTTATTACTGAGCTGGGTGGTGGTGGTGGTGGTGTGTGTGAAAGTGTCCTTGGGTGGCATGAATGATGACGCACTTGACTACGAATGGCAAAGTTGGTGACTCAAAGCAACTCAGTGCTCAGTGGAAGAAGGGTCTGCTGAGCTGATTCTATAAAATCTCTTCACACAACCGAGAAAACTACGGGTTCTCTTTGGGAACACATGGTGCCGGAGGACACAACTCAAGATGATGGGCTTGACTTTTTGGTTTTGGGGTGTATGTGTATGTAAGATGCCTAGATAGGAGGCCAGGCAGATAGCAAAGACTAATTAGCAATCAGCCACTCTTCAAGAGATGAGCCAGAGTCACTATAAAAGAAAGGTTAACAGAGGCACTCTCGACGTGGGGAGATGAGAGTTCGTAAATGTTTCATGTTTCTACAATGAATATTATTTTTACAATTAGAAAAATAACCAAAAAACATTAGTATTGAAGACTGTTCAACATTATTGCAGCTTTTAAAGAGACCGAGTTATTTTTCTCTCAAAACCACCTAAGTCACCTCACCAGCGGGCTATCCTCCTCCAGAAATCACTCAGGCCTTCACAGAGATGGGTCTGAGCGGTGCCTTACAGGACAGACGGCGATTTGAAGGCATACTGGACATGCTTCAGAAATCAGGGCATTAACTTTGCAACCGGAGATCCAAAGGACTAATAGAGATGGCGGTAATAATAATAATAATAGCAATGATCACCTACCCCTTTGCAAATAGCATACAGGTCAACAATGCACACACCTATATAAAGGATGGAAATGACAATTTTATGTCACACGCTATGGCAAGCCATGCATATCTTGTGACATTTCTAGAAGTACTTTTGGCCTCATTCACCTTCATTCAATAGTCTGAAACTACAACTTTTGATCGTATTGTGTAATCAAGGTACAAGCATGATTAAGAGTCACAGGGTGAATTTAGTAGTATCTAGAAACTGGGCTTGCTCTGGGGCAGCGTGAATGGGGGAGTTCCTGGTAGCTGATCTGCACCCAAGGATGTCACAAGTATGTTACACCAGGGCCGGGAAGAGGGCTGCACAGGTTAGGCCCTTGGTGAGCAAGGGCCATGGCTTACATGTGCCTGGGCCCTGTGGTGCCAGCCCCACGTGAAACCGGTAGGTTGATGTAGATGCAAACAGTCCCAGGCATGCAGCCCACCTCCCCTCACCCCTGGTGACCAGTCAGGTCCGTCTCATCTGAGCAAGGGATGTATGAACAACTCCTCTGCACCCGTGCCTTTCATGCCGGCCCCGGCGTCCCCACACAGGTGGGAGACTCAAATGGTCCCAACCTGGTGGTGGGCCAGTTGAGTGGTGGAACAGAATGTGCTGGCCTTGCCTGCCCAAGCGGCCTCTCTGGCCCAGGTTGTGCTAACTTATGTGCCTCCTAGGCTGGGGCCGACCACCCTGAGGGAGGGCTGTTTCCAAAGCAGAAAACATGATTTCTTCCTAATGAAGAAAACAATTTGCAGAGCAGGGAAGGGCTCCTGCCAGGAGAGGGCTGCTTTAGAGACTTGGGGGTAGGCTGGTGAGGGTCTGCAGCTGGGCCCCAAACCTTCACATCAACAGGCATAAAAGTGTAGGCTTGATGTGGGATACAGACTGCTTATTCTGACAGCTTAACATCAAATCCATTGACCAGAAAAAAAAGGGAAACTGAAGCTATCAGATGTAAAAAAATACCTATGTATAGCAAAGTATACTTATGAAAGTAGAGTGTAGGATAGACAATGTGTAGAGCATGTGTGCTATTTGCACAAAATAAGACATTTCATCTGTATGACGGGAAGAACATATATCCTGCCAAAGTGGCTGCTGAGATCTGAAAATGCTTTCCCCTCCCCGAGTGGGAGCGTCAGACAGACTCTGCCTGCAAGTGTGTTAGGATGCAGGGGCAGTAACTACCCAGAGATGGCATCCCTGGGGGACAGAGATAGGAGGAAGCCTAGCAGGGGTGGGGTTCCACAGACACTGCCGATCAAAAGGTAAGAGTTAATACCAGTTTTCTTCCTTGGTTATGAGCATGTCCTGTTTAATCAGACTGTCTTAGAATGTCTGTGTTAGCTCTCAACTAATTTTGTAAACAAGGAAACTGAGGCCACAAAGGCTGTCTGACTAACTGGAAGCTGCACTGCTCCTGCATCTCTGAGCTGGGACTAGAAGCCAAGCTAAGGTTTCTTCCCATCAAATTTCTAGGACACAGACAAATTACTTGCTAGTTAGGGAACTAGCCACAATTTGTTAACGCTCTACTGGTCATGAATCTTTTGACTGGCAAAAAAAATACAACAGGTGAAGTCTCCTGTTGCAGCAATTTGCTTAAATTTAAAAATATTTACAAATGTGCACTGATGATGGCTTCTTACAACTGAGCAATTAACCTTCAGCTCAGAAAGGTCCCCGGTAAGATAAGTTACCATATTTCTGCAGCTTCTCATGCAAGTCTGGAGTGCAGTACACCAGAGCGGCAAAGGTGGCGTTCACAGCTTGATCGATGGTAGAACCAGCAACTATGTCTGTCTTTGGGGTCTGCTTTCTACATGCTTGGATGACACCTTTGGAAAGTTCGGAATATGGCCCACTGAGGTTCTGAGCAGGATCCGAATGTGTAAAATCAAGGAGAAAATCGCGGCAGGGATTGTCAGAGATGGTCTTAACCTGGAAACAAAAAAGAAGTATCACATTTAAGACATCCATGACAAAAAATAAGTTACCGAACACACAGTAAAGTCCAAGAAGACATGTCAGACACGGTACATATGCTCAGGAAGTTTACATCTATTGGAGGGAGACCAGATAAATAAATAGATTAAAAACAATGGTACTCTTAATGATACACTAAAAGCATTCGTACCAGCACTACCACAAAGCGAGAGAGTTTCAAGTGCCTGGAAGGAACGTCCAGTGCTAAGAAATCCAAGTACAGTTTCTGAAAGGTTAAAGTCATTAAGAAAAGCCTCTTGGAGGCCCTGGGTCTGGGTTGGACACTGAAGGAAGAGCAGGGTTGGCTGAGGAACATAACCATTAGCAGAAGTTCAGGTTCAGGAAGGACAGTGGGGAGACAGACCTGGCCTGAAGTCTCGCAGGGGAGTGGTGGGAACTAGAGTCAGATAGGTAAGTGAAAGGAGACTGCAGAGAGCCGTGACTGCCACACTGAGGGGCTTAGACTTCACCCTGGGGCAACAGGCAACCATTAATAGTGCTTGGCAGTGGATGACAAGATAATGTGATGATTTAAAACACCACCAACAACAACTTGGTAGGTACCACTGAATAATGCAGGTGCAAGATGAGGGCCTGGATAAAGAGGGAGTCAGAAAACAGCGAGTGAATACCCCTGGGGAGAATCTGCAGTGCTTGAAGCTGATTGGGTCAGACAGGCAAGAAGAGGTGAGGATAAGGGCGCCTCTAGGGAGCAGTGGCTTGATGCCAGGGGACGCAGTAATGGCAGTAACAGAAGCAGAACCATCCGAGAAGATGGGCTGGTTACACGCTTCTGAGTAAAAGCGGGTCGGAGCACGTAAATGGAAACACCAACCAGGAGCCTGGGAGCCTGGAGAAGAACCGGAGCTGGACAGAGATAATTGGGGGAAACATGCAGAAAAGCTGGAGGTGGGTTGTGGGAGAGAGGAGGGAAGGACCAAGTACTGAGTAAAGTCCACCTTGTTCAGAAGGACGACTGAGGTCAAGAAAGGAGGCCGACAGAGCAGTGAGATGAAGAGAAGCCCGTGACCTGTGGCAGAATCAGAAGAGAAGGTCAGCAGAGGGGACTGAAAGCTGAAGAGGAACCACGGGCTCCAGCACTGGACTACTCACGAACTCAAAGGGGAGGGTCCCGGAGGGGAGCGGGAGAGAGGGAAGTAGAACAGAGGCAGAAGGAGGGAGAGAGGAAAAACAGTGTAAATGGGCAGACTTGCTCCAACATTAAAATACTTCACACCTAAGGTACAGTACAAATCACTGACTCTCAAGTTTGACTCAAGGCATCAGAAGGAGACTCAAGTTGTTTGCTTGCTAATTCTGTCATGGGAGACCTTCTGAACACCTGCTACGCTTCATGGTGGCGTCCTTCTTCAACACCTCTGAACACCCATTACACACCAGCCAGAGGTAACACACAGTGGAGACACCAAATGCACAAGGAGCTAACGGCTTAGTGCAGGCAACAGAGGTTGATAATTTTAAGTACTTTTTATTAGTGGACATTTCCCACCCCCAGTAGAAAGAGAATAGAAAATGATTACCTCCTTACTATCCTGGGGTGGGCAAGTGGGCCCATGTGCTTCAAAGTCCATCTCTGGATATATCTGATGCCTGAAGATAGGTTTCCACAAGGGGGAGTTTAGGACTGATGCCATTTTTGCCTGAGGAACTGCCATGTCCTTTCCTAACTCTGGAAAAAGAAAAACACTTTTCAGAGTGCTGTTCTTTTCCTTTATTTTTTTTAAAATTTATTTTATTTTATTTTTTTCTAATCATTTTATTAGGGGTTCATACAACTCTTATCACAATCCATACATACATCAATTGTGTAAAGCACATTTGTACATTCATTGCCCTCTTTTCCTTTAATACAC